GGTTGAATTCTTTGATTGGATCTTTTGATGAACATTTCTATTTTGGGTGTAATTTGGATTTAATTCATTTGATTTTGAAGGGTGTTTCTTTGGTTTTTGATTTGGGGAATATGGTAATGTTGTAGATTGGATTAGATCTGGATGTATTGATTTTGAGTGTTTTTTACATAATTTGAATTTGAGTGTTTGTATTTAAATGCATGTTTATTGATTTTTCCTAGATTAAGTTTAATGATTTGGTATGATCTTTTGGTGCATTTATGGTGTTGTTTTTGATTGTGATGCTGTGTTTTTAATGTTAGATGGTCCATATGCTGTTCAAGCACAGCAGTGGCAGCAGAATTATCCTCCACCAGTTGAGCATTATCAGGTGCCGAAACCCCCTCCACCTCCTGCTGCCCCACAACGGCCTCCTAGACCTCCTTCCCCCCAACCCCCACCGCCGCCACCACCTGCTCCGTTTATGAGTAGTGGTGGAGGTTCAGGATCCAGCTTTGGGTCTGAAAACCCGCTTCCACCGCCTTCCCCTGGACTTTCGCTGGGGTTTGTAAAGAGTCCCTTCTCTTATGAGGAATTGGCAATGGCTACTAATGGATTCTCCGAGGACAACCTCCTGGGCCAAGGTGGTTTTGGGTATGTCCACAAGGGTATCCTTCCTAATGGTAAGGAAGTTGCTGTTAAGTCTCTTAAAGCTGGTAGTGGACAGGGAGAGCGCGAGTTCCAGGCAGAAGTTGAAATCATCAGCCGTGTCCATCACAAACATCTTGTTTCTTTGGTTGGATATTGCATTACTGGTGCACATAGGTTGCTGGTTTACGAGTTTGTTCCAAACGGCACCATGGAGTTCCATCTTCATGGTAAGCTTATTTCCTTTAGTTCTTTGCTTTAATATGTGTCTGCATTGTCTGTCTTTAATTGCACTCACTGCCAGCATTGGTATAACACTTCTTTTGGCTTCTATGCTTATAATTAATGATTGGCATTGATCTGATTGAATTTTCAAATTGTCTCATTGCAGGTAAAGGACAGCCTACCATGGAATGGCCTACAAGACTGAGGATTGCCCTTGGAGCTGCAAAAGGGTTGGCATATTTGCACGAGGATTGTGAGTTATCTTGTATTACTAGCTTTTTCCTTATGTACCAGTGTTGACAGTCAACTACAAAGTTTATTGATTCTATGCTGTCTGTTTCTGTAGGCCATCCGAAAATTATTCATCGGGACATTAAAGCTGCTAATATTCTTCTAGATAACAAGTTCGAGGCAATGGTGAGTTTGCATTATCAATATTTTATTTGGCCATTGAGTAATTGATTAATACTCTCTTCTCCGAGCTTTAGCATAACCAGTAGGTCAGGAGTCACTACAAAGCTCACTCGATTTTGTCCTCCTTGGACAAACTTCTGCAATTTAATCATTGATTTTTATTTAAATTTTTGTTATCACGAATTTTACTTATTTGATCTTGCTTTCATTTATTCAGGTTGCAGATTTTGGACTGGCAAAGTTGTCTTCAGATGTTAATACTCATATATCCACTCGTGTGATGGGGACCTTTGGGTATGTTTAATACTTTTATCCTTTGCATGTTCTGCTCTTTGTATACCGTAATACCACTTCTAATAAGTTATTTGAAGATGGAATATTGCATGCACAATTCCTTTCATATCCTTGTGCATCTATTTGTAATAAAAATTGACTTGTCGTTGCATCAAGTTGGAACAAGTGCTTACTGAGTTTCTTTTATGTATGTCATTTCCAGATACCTGGCCCCTGAGTACGCTTCAAGTGGGAAACTTACTGATAAATCTGATGTGTTTTCCTTTGGAGTAATGCTTCTGGAATTGATTACTGGGCGACGGCCTGTTGACCCAACAAATGCTTACATGGATGACAGTTTAGTTGATTGGGTATGCAGTTTCTCCATACATTGAGCTTCTTACTGGATTCATCTTGTTGCCTATGAAATTGTTGTTTTTTCAAATCAACCTGACAATTGATGAGATAAATCAGAGAAGTAATAAGCCTTATATGTTGTCTGCAGGCAAGACCTTTGCTGACAAGAGCTCTGGAAGAAAATAACTTTGATTCTCTTGTTGATCCGCGTCTGCAAAACAATTTTAACCCCAATGAAATGGCCCGCATGGTCGCCTGTGCTGCTGCTTCTGTCCGTCACTCGGCACGACGCCGACCTCGAATGAGCCAGGTAAACAGATAATACTATTCAACGGAAGGCAATTAAATTTGATATGCAAAGTTTTGAGAAGCTGTGCATTTTATATAAATAGACTTGTTAAAAAATCAGGAACTAAAGGCAATTAACGAGATTGCTGAATTTGTGACCTAATCTTCAATTCAAATTGTTTAGGAGATGAATTCTAGAGAGCTTTATGTTAGATTAGTTGTTAAACTTTTTAGGAGATGATTCCTTATTGACCTAACCTAGGAACATATCCCAGATCTGTCGTTTAATTTACTAACACCCACAACTTGCGACCTGGTATTGCCGCCAAGTGCTTACATGCAATACATTACGCCTTTGCGTTATTTATTGATTAATACTGGCAATGAAAATTTTAAAATTCACAAATTCTGTGAACTTGACATTTGGGCAAGTTTATGGATTACTTGGTATTCTAGACAGGCAGACAGCAGCTCTCCACCTTTCCAAAAGGGGATAATAACATGAGTAATCCCCAAGGACAAAGACTTCTAGAGTGCATTTGATGATTTGGTAGACTTTTAGCATTGCTTAATGTCTGTGGATTGTGAATATGAATGATTCATGACAGTTGCTTGTAGAGTTTGTACTGAATGGGCTTGAAAGTGATCTGTTGGCATTATTAATTGGCATTTCGTAAGCAATACCATACATTTACTGGGCTTCTTGTTTCATATACTTAGTTCTATCATGATTTTTTTCAAAAAAAAAAAAAAAAATGGGCTCGTTCTTTTTCCTCGTAAAAAGTAGGGTATGTTGATTCTGATTTATAATCTTTACCTGACAATGAGCAGGTTGTTAGAGCTTTGGAAGGAGAAGTGTCTCTATCCGATCTAAATGAAGGAATAAGACCTGGACATAGTTCAATCTACAGCTCCTACGGAAGCTCAGATTATGATACCTCCCAATACAAAGATGACATGAAGAAATTCAGACAGATGGCTCTTCAAAGCACAGAGTATGGCAGCAGTGAGTATGGTGGGACAACTAGCGAGTATGGCATGTACCCGTCTGGTTCAAGTAGTGAAGCCCAAAGTCGTCAAACAACCCGAGAGATGAAAGGAGATAGTAAAGGTTTCAGCGAAGGCCAAAGCCGCCAAACTACTCGAGAGATGGAGATGGGAAAGATGAAAGGAGATAGTAGAGGTTTTAGTGGAAGCTCTTGATGCAAAGATTCTTGCATCATTGCTTCCTGTAAAGAAAGACCCTGATGTGAAAAGGAAAATTAATTGTTTTATATATTAGATTGCGAGTGACGTGATTCTAACACAATTTTTTCGTTTTTTTTGGCATTCTTTTACCTTGCAGTGGAATGACTGGTTTTCACCTCAATGTATTTACTATTGCTTTCACAGAGAGATAACATACTACATATTGGGCAATTCTTTTGTATAATGATTTTGGTTTTGTTGAGCTCAATTGTGAATATTACTAAGACATCTTCATATGACATTGTTTCAAACTTCAATGGTCAATGTATCAATCATGAACCCTGTGCGAAGTTACATTAAACGTAGATAATACAAACGAACTTTGATCTCAAGTTTTGGATACCATCCAAGACAGACCTAAGCTTTGACCAAGTGCCTTGAGGCCATTAACACAGTTACATAACTTACATTCACATTGAGTCGTATTCTCATAGAAATTTGTTGCCTTAGCCTTAACATCGATCTTGGGATTCATGTGCAAGTGTTTTAGTTACAACAGTTTGACTAATGGAGGAAGTAAATGATACCTTGAAGACTATGTCGACTTGTACTGGGCAAAATTCTTACAACTTTAAAAGATCATACTCCTTAAATCATTGAACCAAAGGCCATACCTTAAAGTGGACTACTTCAGTTTTATAAACATTGATGGTGGTTTTGTAGTCTAGAGTTCTAGACCATGGGGTTGGGTTTATTGAGCGAACTGCCTACGCCTTATACAGCAATGGTTAATTGTTATCATTAGCCCATCAATTTTAGTTAAACATACCTCATTATCTTGACTCTTGAGGGCTTGAATTGTTTCTTTTTGGACAATATAAGTATTGTTGGAGTGACTTATTCCTTGAAATCATCTTTTGCTGTCTCATACAACTATAAGACGGTCTTATTCAAGACTTGTTCTCTTGTTGTGTTTATTATAACATGAACTATGTAGTAGTAATTAAGTAGATGTAGTTGAATGTACTTGGCAAGAAGTTTAATCTTTTACAATTTGCACTTGTTTAACTTATGGCTAAAATTGTTGATGTATGTAGTTTGGTTTGGATAACTAACAAGACTATGAAAGTGCTTTAGAACAATAAATTGAGGAGTGACACAATATAATGTTAAACTAACCTAAGTGCATTCAAACTAAACAAAATTAATCAAAGCTAATGAGCTCAATTGAGGTGTAAGCAAGTGATGAAATTAAGACCAAGCATTGTCAGTGGGGCGGAGATGGGTCACGATTTAGTGGGTCGTGGGGCGGAAATGGGGATAAAAACTCTAAATTGACCAAATTAGAAAACACTAACCAAACTCACCGCACCACTATGGCACTATACCGTTGATGTTGCAACCCAACTTCCACACTTTCCCTCTTTTTTTTCTGGAAAAAACCGCCAAATTTCCTCGACATTTTTCTCTCTCTTACTCTGCTACATCAACAATTCAACATGAACATCACCTTAATAGAATCCCCAGATGAAATCATCGATTCCGATGGAGAAAGTAATTCGCATTACGAGGAGAGAGAAATTCAATTAGGGCTTGACCGCTGGACACAGCAATCGAAGAAGGTAAGCTGGTATAATTTTAACCTAGAATTGATTGATTATGCTTGCATATTTACACTATTTTTTTTTCATATATTATATGATTCGATTTAATTTCATTGTTTGTTTTAAATTATTTCAATATGAATTAGGGTTGGTATAATAATTATCAGATTCCGCAATTTGAATTTGTCAGGCATTTATTTTATTTGTATACGATTATTCAAATTTACGTTATTCCAACCTGAATTAGGGCTGGTATAGTCATGGGAGTCACTATTGATACATTGGAGGGCACGAACATATGATATAGTTTTGATTTCTTAATTCTTATTACTTGTATGAATTTGAATTGGTAATGATTATAGAAGAGAGAGAGATGAAGAAGAAATTATATAGTATGGGGAGTTGAATTGATGTTCTAGTTGACTTTCTGAGTTGCCAGACTAATTATTTAAGGATTTATTCAATCTGTAATCAGAGATTTTTGGTTTTATTATTTTATATTTACATGTGTATGAATAAATAAAACTTTGCTGTTCGAAGACGGCGGTTTGATTGAGTAACTTGGTCTGGATTGTTAATTGAAGGTGTGGAAACAGCTTTATCTAGCTAGCTAATTCATGACATGCAAGGATGTTTTGAGGTTTTTATTTGTTTAATGATAGGAGTAAGACACTAAGACTTGTTCAGATATGACATAGTGAGCACGTTTTGGTTACTGGGAGACGGATTATGTCTAAGGGAATAGTTGAATAATTTATACAATGACTGTCTGGGAATTGGACAATAGGGGGGAAGCCTGCATAATGATGCTTGTGTTTGAAAAATTTGTAAGAGAATCAAATTGATTCATTGTTCTCTATTCAAGAGGAAAGTAAAGGAGTTCCATCCTCTCCTCTTTTTTCTTCCTGTTTGACATTGCTGGTACTGAATAGTTTTGGTTAGATTTAAGAAATGTCGTCGCCAACACCTGCAGTTATTGAAACCCCACTAACACCTCCGCCACCTGAAACTCCACCTCCTCCACCTGAAACTCCACCTCCGCCACCTGATACTCTGCCTCCGCCACCTGAAACTCCGCCTCCGCCACCTGAAACTCCACCTCCAAGCCCGCCACCTGAAACTCCACCTCCAAGCCCACCACCTGAAACTCCACCACCAAGCCCACCACCAGTTCCTGCAGTCCCTCCAACTCCAATTACTCCCCCTCCAAGCCCACCACCAAGTCCTCCTCTGACACCTCCACCGTCTTCTCCACCTGCAACCCCACCTCCCCAGCCTCCACCTCCAAGCCCATCACCTCCAACTCCTAGTCCGTCACCTCCACCTCCAACTCCTAGTCCGTCACCTCCACCTCCAAGCCCGTCGCCTTCACCGCCAGCCCCAGTTCCTCAGACTCCACCTCCAAATCCATCGACACCACCGCCTACAACCCCAGCTCCTCAGCCGCCTCCTCCAAGCCCTTCTCCTCCCCCTCCTAGCCTATCTCCTTCTCCTCCTCCCCCTACAAGCACTGCACCTTCCCCAATTACACCACCAGCTCCAATTCTTAGCCCACCTCCATCAGCAACACCTGAAACTCCACCCCTATCTCCACCAATTATATCTCAAAGCCCTCCATCTCCTAGTTTGAATCCATCAAAGTCTACACCATCTTCACCAGCTATTCCTCCTCCACCTAGCTCATCAACTCATACACAAACCGGTCTTATTGTAGGTGTTGTAATAGGGGGTGTGATAGTACTAGCTGTGTTTGGCCTGCTGTGGATGCTCTTTGCTAGGAGGAAGAAAAGGCAGGATTCACATGGTGGAGAGGGATATTACTTACCTCCAGGTTTGTTTCTATATATTACATGGTTACAAATCTTACAATACTTGTTGTCCTTATTCCTCTTTCGAATATTGATAATTCCTAATAATTTTTATTGGATTGTCGATTCTTATGGATTGCCATTGGCTAAGGTCGTCCTTACTGAGTTATTATTATTGGGGGTGAAATTCTGAATTGAGACTGTAGATGCTTAAGCATTTGAACTAGAGTAACGGAAATTCTGCAATATCATATGAGCTCCATGACAAAGGTTTCAAAATAGTATAGAATGTTTCAAAAATGTATATATCGATTGTATCCTATCTTTTCAGTTCTATATGAGTTCTGCAGTTTATTTTAATATTATGCAATTATTTTGATTGGAATTGGTTTTTTTTTTATCCCAACAGAATCTTAAGTGGGTCTTCTGCAGTTCCTTAATATAGATAAAAGAAACCTATTTTCGTATTTAATAGCTTAAGATCATTTATTCTTTTGTAGGCCTTTACAATGTAGGAGTGTCCTTTCCTCCTATTTACTGCTGAATTTGAAGAAAAAAAAAAGTTCATTAATCTCAATGAGTTTAAAAGTTTTGTATTTCACATGCTATCATTCCATCTTCATGATATTACAAAATAAGTTGTAGGATTGGGTGTTCAAAATAGTATGGGAATAAAGCCAACATATAGTTAAAATGGCATGTTCCTCTTGATTCACTTATGTATTGATCAACTCTACAATAATTTACCACTTGTTGGAAAGATTGTTTGACGTTTTTTAGCAACCATGTACTCCTTTTTCTCACATCAATAGTTGCATTGAAACCTATGCTTATTATAACTCTTCCAGGAAGAGGATTAAGAATAAAATTTTTATTGTGCTACTCTTGCTAATTTTATTGTATATCATGAATATATATATTTGATAGGTGGATTTTATCAAGGGCCAGCACAACCTGGGCAACATAGTAATCCCCAGTCAACTGAACATTATTCGATGTCCAAGCCATCTTCTATAACACTGGCTGCTGTACCATCAAGATCGAATTCTTCAACAGCTCAACCAATTTCTACAAATGGCAGTGGATCTTTCTGGTCTCCCAGTTCTGGGCCTGAGAACTCAATTCCACCATCTTCACAGGGCATGGTAGTAGGAACTTCATCGAGTTCCTTTTCTTATGAAGAGCTTTCTGTTGCTACCGATGGCTTTGCGAGCAAAAATCTCCTTGGACAAGGTGGTTTTGGATATGTCCATAAAGGAATCCTTCCAACTGGGAAAATAGTAGCTGTCAAATCACTCAAAGCTGATAGTGGGCAGGGAGAGCGTGAATTTCAGGCAGAAGTGGAGACTATTAGCCGAGTGCACCACAAGCATCTTGTGTCATTGGTTGGATACTGTGTCACTGGTCCCCAGAAATTGCTGGTTTATGAATTTCTTCCAAATAAAACCATGGAGTTCCATTTGCATGGTTAGTTTGTCACTCTTTCTGACACTTTACTACCTCTGAAGACCCCCTTATATGGATGCTATGGTCACAATGATTATAATATTATCCTTTTTGGGCTTCCCTTTTAAACATATATAATCATCAACAATATATGACTCTCAAGTAGTTTTTTAGGTCCTTTGTCTCAAAGAGCAGTTCTTCAATCTAATAAGAAAAATTGTATTGCAGGAAAGGGACAACCTGTTATGGATTGGCCTACAAGGCTGAAGATTGCTATTGGTTCTGCAAAAGGATTGGCATATCTGCATGAGGACTGTAAGCCTTTCTTCTTACCAACCCCTGGATGTACACATTAATACTCTGATTTTGTTTGAACTACAATCTGAAGATGTGCTTACTTCTGCAGGTCATCCTAAAATAATTCATAGGGATATTAAAGCAGCTAATATTCTTCTGGATTTCAAGTTTGAGGCATTGGTAAGCTTATAATTGGTAGTAGTTAGGGTTTAGTCTTCACCCCATGTTAGTTTTTTATTTTCTTGCCTTAGATGATGTTGCCTCTTTATTTAAGAAGGGCAAGAAGGTTTTGCCAATGACTCAATGTCATTGCCATAATGATAATTAGACCTTGACTTGTTTCTGTATAAGATAAACTGACTTCATTCTACAGCTAGTCAGCTTGTCAGATTCCTCTTAGATTTATTGAATTTTTTTTCCTCATTCAGGTTGCTGATTTTGGACTGGCAAAGTTTACTTCTGATGCTAATACTCATGTATCCACCCGAGTTATGGGAACTTTTGGGTAATGGCTAGCGTTTTATCAATTTTTGTATAATTTCTTTATCTGATTGTTATCTAGTTCGTATAAATGATTTGTTGGTCCTTTTTTACCTAATGTTAATTTACTGAGGTTGGGTTTAGGTGACTTGATCATATCATTCTGATGTTTACTTGAGTGTGATCATCTGTACATTGTTTGATAAGAGTGAACAGTGTAACAATAGGAGGAACCTAACTTAGTGGCTTCATTTTCTTTTCTCTCTAATACTTGTAGGTACCTGGCTCCAGAGTATGCTAACTCAGGAAAGCTCACTGAGAAGAGTGATGTTTTCTCTTTTGGAGTTTTGCTTTTGGAATTAATTACAGGTCGTCGCCCAGTTGACTACTCATCAAATTCTGAGATGGAGGACAGTTTGGTGGACTGGGTAAATTTTCAATTTACTTATCTGGAAACAGATTCATCATGATATAAGAATTATTTTCCCTTTGTTTTTTGCATTAATGGGGGTGCAACAGGATCATTAGATAGCTAATTAATTTTATTTCCATTACAGTCTAGACCACTACTTTCAAAAGCTGTGCAAGATGGAATCTTTGATTCTTTAGTTGATTCACGGCTAGGAAACAATTATGACTATGTAGAAATGGGCTCCATGATTACTTGTGCTGCTTCTTGTGTGCGTCATTCAGCGAAACGCAGACCACGAATGAGCCAGGTAACATTCTACTAAACTCTGGGATATTCTCTACAAAATTTGGATTGGCTATTCGGTTTACTTTGAAGTCCAAATGGAGGTGTTTTCTGATTGTATAGCAAGCTTTTATGGATTCGACTGATACAGTATCAAGCTGAACTAAACGACATGAAATAAAATGTATCTTATTATTTGTGTGCTTGATATTTTATGGATTTGACTTGTGTGGAAAAGAGAGACAATATACAGAAGCAACCCCAAATAACTGTATTTAAAGACTGTCCTGAAGAAGGATTGTCTTGATATTTGAGTGTGTGGATTCTATTGTTTGAGGCGATGGGAAGGGATACTAGCTTAGAGACTCTCACCTCCATAAATTTTTGTTGCTATTTGAAGTAGACCTCTACGTTCTGTTATAATTTGAAGCGCAGCTTTCCTGAAACAACTGAATTTGAGTGCTCTTAATATGTATGAATTAATCACTACTCCCAAATCCCAAGATTTGATCAACTTCTGCGAACCACATTGGAGCCTTCTCTTTCATATTGCCACATTGGAGTTTTTCTCTTATCAGCAATGCACCCATCATTTTGCTAACTTTAATAAGCATGCTATTCCTCATGCTGCCTTATTAAAAAATTCTCATGGTGTTCATTATGTCATTTTGAACAGGTGGTTCGCGCGCTAGAAGGAAATCTTTCACTATCTGATCTCAATGACGGTGTTAAGCCAGGATTTAGCTCATCTCTTGATTCTGCTGACATGGATAGTGGTGTAGAAGATGAAAAGAAATTCAGGAAGTTGGTATATCTAAGTGAAGAGTATGGTACCAACGAGTTTAATAGGACACGAAGTGAGTTCAGTGATGGTGGATTGTCTAGCAGTAGTGAGATGCAGCGCCATTCACATAGACATGCCTGAATGAAGGTTGCTGACCACTTTATCCTGAGATTTTTTTTAACATGATTTTGATTCAATATGAGTATATAATTTTTTTTCCAACTTGCCCCATCGGCCATTGATGTATCTATTTATTTGTTTATTTATTCAACCTTTAATTTGTACTTACTATTGCCCACCATGAAAATTCATGGACAAAGCCGGGCAGCTTCTGTTTAGTGATGAATATACATGAATTTGGAGTCCTGAGATTTTACTAAATGAAATTACCCTAATTTCATAGTTTGAGTTGATAGTAATGAGTGTGAAATTCCTTATGTAGATGCTGATTTGGTAAATTCCAGTCCAGTATTAAGCCCCTATTTCGTTCCGGAGTCGATTCCTAACTTTGTTTATTCTTTGAAATGATCATTTCATTCATGATACTAAATAATCAATCTAACAAAAACTAAAGGTTTAAAGAAGAATTAATAACCGAAAAAAAGCTAGAGTTATATTCAGTACAAGTATTTAGATTGTATCATATACTTAAAATTTTACAAATGCTCTCATATATACTCTGTTCAAAATCATTTTCATTTGGGAAAAAATGTATTTTAATCAGTACAAATAGAATCAAATTACCTAATGTCTAAACTAAGAAATAAATCGAAATTATAACTACTTCATTCCCCTCGTACATTACCACTCGAGTCTCCTTCAATAGCATTGCCTACTATACATCCGAATGTATCATATATTCATCATATACATATGTTGCTTCTATAACATATTATAATCTGCCAAAAAGTTGAAAGTATCAAGCAGCGATAGAAGCAAATTCACAAAGCTGTAAGGCAGTCAAATTACAGCATTCCTGACCAATTGGAAGGTAAATTTTATTTTTTTCTGTTTGCATTCATCATATACAACCAATGATCTCTACGTCCAGATTAAGTTGTCACATTAATAAATTTCGTTTAGAATATCAAAATTTATTATTAGTTTAGAACAAAAGAGTGGATATTTACCTGAAAAGCTAAGTGATGATTGATGTGATTTTAGCTTTTTGAGAACAATTAGATGGTTTATTGCATTGCAATAAGCTAAGTAAAATAGTTGATTAAAGGAGTTGGTCAAAGCATGCATTTTGTGTTATCAGTTAATATATCAACCCAGATTCATAAGGTGGCTCATTACAATGAGTGTTTATTTGTTCCTTACTGATTTCCTATTTCTACAATAATTTTTTATGCATGCAATCTTTAGGTTTTATTAACTAGATAAATTTGATTATTTTGTTAATGCTTTTCATTGATTATGATGTTGGTAGATAAGTGTAAAATAAATTTAACTTCCAGATTTCGGATACAGGAGCATATAATTCATATTATTTTGGAATGTCGGGAAAAACTTTAGTAGTAGTCATGATTGTGACGGGTTGAGGCAATATTACAATTGAAAAATGATAGCAATCATATTTCAATGTGGGTAGCTCTATTCAAGTCTCTTGGAAATAACCTCTCACATTCCAATTGTGGAATGTTCAATGGCCCTAGTTGTTGTTGTTGTCGTCGTTGTTGTTCTGGTTGTTGTTGATAATATTAGTAAATCGTCTAGTTGATGAACATAGTTAGTGCCCTAATACTGCATCTTGTATTGTTTAATAAGTCAATTGACCTATGGCAAATAGAATCTTTACTTAATTAAATATTTAACCTTCACCAGATTGAAAAGAGGGTATTTGTAATCTTTCTGAATTAATTTATGCAGTTGGTAGGGGTTGATTATGTTGCTTTGACAAATTGTACGGAGTACAAGATATGAAATTATGCATGAATGGAGGTTGGAGACCACGAATTTCGGGATATCCAATAGTTGACGAGTAACACTTTGTCGTTTCCTTAATACATGCAACATTTTGACTTTTTGCACCTCATATACTGCATGCAATAGATTTGAATACTTTTTTTGTACTTGATACTCGTATGTAAAGATATTAATAGCCAAAGTAGTAGTGTAATAACAAACGTGAAAGTTAAAAGACAGATGAAGTATACAGGAAGTTGAATAACTGATTTCCTTTTTCCTCTAAACATTATACTTCATACATGCTTTTTGGCCAAAACTCAGTTGAATAATTTGACTTGATTGTACAGCTGATGGTTGGAAAAAGACTAAGTACCATACCTCCAGATCATTGACAGCAGTATTAACTGAAGAAAACCATCAACTTGTTCCTAATTAATTCTCAGGATGATAATATCTTTTAATGAGTTTGAGTTTATTTTAATGAATTCTGCCTATAGTTTGTTTACTTGTGATTGTGCACCTGTAAAAAATGAATTTTTGATGTCTATTTTAATATTAATTACATTGACTTCTTCATTCCTTGCATACATGACTTGCTATTAGTGTGTCGACTACTTGGTCTTGGTTTGACATTCAAAGTTTTGCATTACATCATAGCCAAACATGCCCTCATTATACCATTCAAGGCAACAACGGTTGAATCTCATCATCTTCGAGTACATCTATCTGAAGTTAAACCTGCAAAGTTGAATTATCCACACATTCTATTCTTAGCCTCTATTTCTTCTGTTGTGGTTCTTGATTTTCAAATTATTGCTCCCTTACATTAGGATTGGAGACAATCAGGCTATACTTTATCTATTATCTGGAATTTTGCATCTTCAGAGGTCATTATGAGCATAAACATTCTAGGAGCACATATATCTACTGTAATCGTAGCATGTATTGCTGTAGGACTTTTAATAGTACTGGTACTCTTGATTTGGTTGTGCTGCGTGCTCTGTCGGGGAAAAGATGGAGATAGGAGGAGAAGAACGACTCACAGTATTTCTGTAGAAAATCCTCCTGGAGCTATTAGAGGTATATATAAGATATAACCGTATCCTGCAGAATTTAGTAGTTTGTTCTATCTTGGTGTTTGCATGATCCTGCCTTTTTTTTACATAAATGAATGTTTTATGCTTTTATCTGAATAATAAATTGGATAGTTTATGCTTGTAAGGCTGGTTAAATTATCAAGTAAAACAAATACAGGAGCTTAAGAAATGCCACAGTTTCTTAGGATTTACACATTCATGGTTTTTTGGAATTTTATTAGATATGATGATATATAGTCAATGTCTATGAAGTGAAAAAAAACATTTAAATCTTTTACTCTCTGACTTGTATGTTTATCTTTCTACCAAAACATGTAATAATCCTTTTGTCATTAGTCTGTGTAAATGTCTAAATGGATGGAATGGTTATTAGGTAACCAGCAGCATGCTGAACCAGCTCAACAGCGGCAGCAGCACCATAATCCACCTAGAAGGGCCGAACATCATAAGGATTTATATACTCCTCCTGCTTCAGCTGTATCACATCTTCCTTCACAGTCTTCTGTGGGAAGCAATGGCAGCAACCCATTGCCTCCACAACCATCTCGGCGTTCTCCAGCAGCTCAAGCTCCATCAGCTTACTCAAACTCAGGGCAGTCCAATTTATCCGGCAGTGGAAGCTTAATGCCACCTCCATCTCCTGCTTTATCATACGCCTCTTCACAGACCATGTTTACTTACAATGATCTTGCAATGGCAACAAATAGCTTCTCAAAAGATAATTACTTGGGAGAAGGTGGTTTTGGGTCTGTTCACAAAGGACTTCTTCCAACTGGGAAAGCAATTGCTGTTAAGTCTCTTAGATCTAATAGTGGTCAAGGAGAGAGTGAATTTGCGGCAGAAGTTGAAATCATTAGCCGAGTGCATCACAGGCATCTTGTTAAATTAGCGGGTTTCTGCATCACTGGCTCGAAAAGATTTCTTGTTTATGAATTTGTTACTAACAAGACTCTGGAGTTCCACCTTCATGGTTAGATCATGTTTACTTTTACTTAATCATTGTTTTAATCTTGTTAATTTTTCAAGAATGTATCTATTCTGGTTCCATCTGACGGAATAACCATGTTGCAGGTAAGGATCAGCCTACAATGGATTGGTCCACGAGACTAAAGGTGGCTGTGGGGGCTGCAAAAGGATTAGCATATCTGCATGAAGATTGTAAGTACTCTTGTGGTCATTATGCCTTTAATGTCAGGAACCATTTTTGGTGATTTCCTGATACATGTGTACGGGTGTGAATCTAATGCATGTTCTGGTCACTATAATGTAGGCCAACCAAGAATTATCCATCGTGATATTAAAGCTACTAATATACTCCTAGACGACAAATATCAAGCCAAGGTGACTTTCTGATCATGTTTGATTAGTGTTGCTATTGATTTTGCTGTTATGTATTGATTTGTTCATTATTTTCATCATTTTTCTCCCTTCTGAATTCTTTATTATCTATTGGAGTATATGAGAACTTATATTATGTTAGAAATCATTTTCTACAATGTAAATGTCAAGCTTGTGTTATGCAGGTTGCAGATTTTGGACTTGCAAAGCTTACACCTGAAGAATATACACATGTTACCACTCGAGTTATGGGAACCTTGGGGTATAATAATCTGATCCCTTCTTCATGGTCTATTGTACTATATGTATTTGATCCAAACTAATTAAGTATTAATTTGACACTCATTATGCTGTTGTTTCACTCTAAATCATGCTTGCAGATACTTGGCTCCAGAGTATGCTTCATCTGGGAGACTCACGGAGAAGTCTGATGTTTATTCCTTCGGTGTCATGCTTCTGGAATTGATTACTGGACGTAAACCAGTTGACAGAACACAAAAGCAGTATAGTCTAGTGGAATGGGTAAAGTTTTTTTTGTTTCACGGTTTCATCACCTCATATCTATATACAGTATAATTGTATACAACTTCAAGAAATCATATTATTTGGATTCAATCAAGCTGAGAAGCTACAGCTTAAAAGATTATCAGAAAAGTAATTAAATTAGCATTCTGCTGGCTATTTGCAGGCGAGACCTTTACTCACAACTGCTATGGAGGATGAGAACTTCAATCAACTTGTTGATCCACGCTTGCAGTTTAGTTACAAGCATAGTGAGATGGCTCGTATGGTGACTTGTGCTGGTACATGTGTTCGAAAGTCAGCACGTAGTAGACCACTGATGAGTCAGGTACTCAACTCACATGCATGTCTGAAAATGTATAATAATAATAAGGAATACTATGGACTAATGCATCTGCTTAGCCTTGAAATTATCTGAAGCACATTCTTCATATCTTACTGATCAGATAATAATAGAGTATACGGCGTACTATTGACTAATGCATCTGTTTTCCCTTTGATTACAAATATGCCAATTTATCTGTCTTGTTTTTCTGATGCTGTTTTTGAACTATGGAAATGAGCAGGTAGTTCGAGCTCTTGAAGGGAATTTGTCCCTTGATGATTTAACCGAAGGAATAACACCTGGCCGTAGTATGCTCCATAGATATGAAACTGCTTCAGAAAATACTGGTAGTCAATACAAGAAAGGTTCCAAAGGGGACTCAACAGAATTTGTTAGCACTGAGTATGATGGAACAACAAGCGAGTATGGATTGTATGTGACTGGTTCAAGTAGCGAAGAACAGACTACTCGAGAGTTGGATACTGAAGAGGTGCAGAGAAATAAGGCACATGTTAAGTAACTCCGTATTATTGATCTTAAATACCTCGAGCTGATTCTAGCTTGCAAATCAATTACTACAAAGGATGACTTAAAGAAATCAATTTTGCAGTCGCGTTATTATGGTCACTGATGGTATGTTCAGGTGCTATATTGAAGAAATTTTCCAAGTATTCACATTTTATTAAGTTGCATATGCTGGATTGAGAGAGATGAGGATGGTTGTGTTAAAAAGATCCTATAACTTGATGTCTAATACCATTTCATGCTAGCCACACTCATCATGTGTGAGTTGGACTGCTGACCATTTCATATTCTTTAATTGTAAAAAAAAAATGTTTTTCCCAATTGTAACTATTTTTGTTCATAGAGAAATTCTGTAGGAAATTGATTTATTTTTTTTCTTATTAATTTGCTTTATTATTAATATGAATATTCTAAGTAAATGTTGGAGTTTTTGCTTTATACATATTTAAATTTGGAGTTTGGTTTTGACCTTCAAATATGGATAGAGGAAGTTTTGCATTTATAACATTCCAGACAAATGATAAAGAATATACATGTGGTGATGTGGATACTAGGCGTTAAGCATGGACAAAACTCATAGAACGCTAGAATAAGGGCATGTTCACATAATTTCAGTTCAGTTCAGCTCTAAACAATTCAGTCCAGTTCAGTTTCTAATTTCTCTCTCTCATAACATATTTATTTCACCTCAGTTCAGTTCAGTTCATCAGTTCAGCTCAGCTCAGTTCAGTTCAGTAAATGTGAACAGGCCCTTAAGACATAAAGACACCTCATCCATATAAAACATCTATTTTTGGCAATTGAGGGTCGGATCTTGGTTTGACATAGGATCAAGGGAACGCCTGCTCAAGGCAGCAAGGCCAAGCCAAGGCAATACAAGGGCAAAGGCATCTTAAGACATATAACAAGAGGTGGCCCAAATGCTTAATTTGCATTAATGAGATGGTTTTGGCCTTTTGGGTATCAATTAGGCATTTCGTGGCTTTTGGACCCAACGAGTCTTTGATAGGCCATTTAAGTGGTTGGAATCATCTACTCTACCTTTAAAATATCACATAGCTAGTTACATAGGTTCCTCCTTCCATTAATTCAAGGCCACTATATAACCAACTAATGGTTGTGTACTTGTATATAGTTCCAAACACAACATATTATGAGTAATATGACCCTAGTAATGTATACTTTTGGTGATGAAAAAACTATAAAGGCTATGCTTTAGTCAATTTGATTACCTTTGTTTGGTCCATTTGATTACCTTCGTTTGAAAACAAATATAAGGTCATGCTTTAGTCCAATTGGTTACCTTCATTTGATTATAGTTTTTTCATATTATGGTTCATTTGAAAACCCAATCACAATGATTAATGTATATAAATAGTGAAAAAAGTCAACGTATATCAATTATTCTTAAATGGAGGAAGTACGCCAAAAAAAAATGTAAAAAAAAATTAAAGGCTATGCTTAAGTCCATTTGATTTAATCTAGTCTAGTTTGAATAAACTTAAGAAAATAATAATCTCATGTCTTAGATACCAATCCCAAGTTCAAACTTTAACTCTCTTTATACACCAATCCGTAAAATAAAATATCATCTGGGTATTCGTCTACTCGTATAATATATTCCATTCTAATTAGAGCTGTCAATTCAGGTAAACGGGTCAGGTTTGGGTCGGATAAGAGCGGGTCGATCAACTCGGGTTGGTCAATTCAGATTAATTCCATAACCTATGCGGGTCGGGTTTGGGTTGGGTCATGCTTGAGTCGGGTTACGTCGGATCATACTTCTTATCGGGTTACATTTGAGTCGGGTGAACAATAGGTCGGGTTTAATTCAGGTTTTCACGGGTTAAAACGGGTTAGGGTAATTCTCGAGTTCAAGTCGGGTTTGGTTCAAGTCAATAATTTGCGCGTTAGAATCTAGCTGGTTGGGTCATTCTCGGGTTTGAGTCGAGTTCGGTTCAAGTCAATAATTTGCGCATTAGAATCTGGTCGGGTCATTTTCGGGTTTGAGTCGGGTTCGGTTCTAGTCAATAATTTGCAAACTATAATCAGGTCGGGTCATTATCGGGTTCAAGTCGGGTTCGGTTCAAGTAAATAATTTGCGGGTTATAATCAGGTTGGGTCATTTCCAAGTCGGGTCATTCTTAGATTCAAGTCGGGTTATGTTCAAGTAAAAAATTTGTAGGTTACATTTCCAAGTCAGGTCATATTAGGGTTCAACTAACTATAAATAGATAATCATCATTTTTATCAAGCTAATTATTTCCTTTGACTATAACATATATGGCAATATACTAGGGAACTATAGTCTATAATTTAGGAAGATAATTATCTCCTTTGACCATACAACAAATGTATACTATATTTAACTCATAAATTTGAGAATTGTGCTCCTTTCTTTTGCTGGCCTGGACCGACTTGGTCTCCCTAGACAAAATGATTTGATCAACAATAATAAGGTGGTCTAAATTGTATTTAAGGTGATTTGAAATCGGGTCAGAAACAATTTGGGTTGAATTTAGGTCGGGTTAATAACAAGTCGTGTTAATTACGAGTCGGATCAATAACAGATCGGGTTGAATTTTTGGGTCGGGTAAGTAATAGGTCTGGTACAATTCGGGTCGAGTAAAAAACAAGTCGGGTTGAATTTGGGTCTGGTCAATAACAAGTCGGGTTGATTTCGAGTCGAGTTTGTAAGAGGTTGGGTTAAATTCGGGTCGAGTTAGGAACGAGTCGAGTTGAATTCAGGGCAGGGTAGTAACAAGTCGGGTTAAATTCAGGTTTATACGGGTTAAAACGGTTTTGGGTCAATTTTGGTGCAAGTTAATTAAATTCGTTGTTGTAAACCGTAAATTGGCCTTTTAATCCACGCTTTTTGAGAAATTTTGGAGGTTTCGAGGCTCGGTGTCGAAAAGTCTTGAAATTCTATAAGATACATCTCGGAGTCATATAATGCTGATTGAAACCATATGGGATCATTATTTGTTGTCATAAATGTTCGTTGTAGGCTTGAATTAATGAAATCGGTGCAAGTTGTAAACCGGAAAATTGGTCGTCTAACGGAAAATTGGATGGTTCCACCAACCCAATTGGACTCCCGGAAGGTATTAGAGACCATGGTTAAAATTTCGGCAATTCTTATTTCCGAGCGAAAAAAGGTCAAAAAATTTAAAAATTGAATATCCACACTTTTTGAGAAATTTTGGAGGTTTCGAGGCTCGGTGTCGAAAAGTCTTGAAATTCAATGGGATACATCTCGAGGTCATCTAATGCCGTTTGGAACCATATATGATCATTATTTGTTGTCATAAATGTTCGTTGTAGGCTTGAATTAATGAAATCGGTGCAAGTTGTAAACCAGTAAATTGGTCGTTTAAAGGAAAATTGGATGGTTCCACCCACCCAATTGGAATCACGAAGGGTATTAGAAACCATGGTAAACATTTCGACAATTTTTATTTCCGAACGAAAAAAAGTCAAAAATTTTCAAAATTGAAGGCTAATATCCACGCTTTTTGAGAAATTTTGGAGGTTTCGAGGCTCGATGTCGAAAAGTCTTGAAATTCTATGGGATACATCTCAGGGTCATATAATGTCGTTTGGAACCATATATGATCATTATTTGTTGTCATAAATGTTCGTTTGTAGGCTTGAATTAATGAATTCAGTGCAAGTTGTAAACCGGGAAATTGGTCTTTTAAGGGAAAATTGGATGGTTCCACCCACCCAATTGGACTCCTGGAGGGTATTAGAGACTATGGTAAACATTTCGGCAATTTTAATTTCCGAGCGAAAAAAAAATCAAAAAATTTCAAAATTGAAGGCTATTAACCACGCTTTTTGAGAAATTTTTGAGGTTTCGAGGCTTGGTGTCGAAAAGTCTTGAAAGTCTATGGGATACATCTCGGGGTCATATAATTCCGTTTGGAACCATATATGATCATTATTTGTTGTCATAAATGTTCGTTGTAGGCTTGAATTAATTAAATTGGTGCAAGTTGTAATCAAAGAAATTGGTCATTTAACGGAAAATTGGATGGTTCTACCCACCTAATTGGACTTCCGTAAGGTATTAGAGACCATGGTAAACATTTCGACATTTTTATTTCCGAGCGAAAAAAGTCAAAAAATTTAAAAATTGAAGGCTTTTTGAGAAATTTTGGAGGTTTCGAGGCTTGGTGTCGAAAAGTTTTGAAATTCTATGGGATACATCTCGGGGTCATATAATTCCGTTTGGAACCATATATGATCATTATTTGTTGTCATAAATCTCGGGGTTATATAAACCGGTAAATTGGTCGTTTAAAGGAAAATTGGATGGTTCCACCCACCAAATTGGACTCCCGGTGGGTATTAGAGACCATGGTAAACATTTCAGCAATTTTTATTTCCGAGCGAAAAAAAGTCAAAAATTTTCAAAATTGAAGACTAATATCCATGCTTTTTGAGATATATCGGAGGTTTTGAGGCTCGGTGTCGAAAAGTTTTAAAATTCTATAGAATAAATGTCGTGGTCATATAATGTCGTTTGGAACCATATATATATGTGTAGGCACGAAAAATTTATATAAATGCCACATTGGATATTATATGGGTCAAAAGTCAATTTGTTGACTTAATGGTTTGACTATTTATTTAAAATTAATTATTTTGGGTGAAATAATATAAATTAGCCCATTTTAATTATTTTGATTAAATTTGTTCATTTAATAGTAAAAACCTATTTAATTGAGTTAAGCTACATAAATGAGTCAAGATTACCAAGTCAAAGGCCCAATTCCAATGTACATTCAACCCTAACCCTAGGTGTCATACACTCTATAAATAGAGCTCTCTTCAATGGAAAAATTCAGAGGAAACCTAGAGAGGAAAATAATTAGATACAAAATACATAGAAAGATTCTCTCAAATATTCAAAACCTTTTCAAAGAAACCTCTCAAACACTCGAAACCTCTCTCCACAGAAAACCTCTCATCAAATACTCTAAACCATTTTAGAGAAAACATCTCAAAGCCTAAAAGAATAACAACAAGAATTCGACGTGTTGTTCTACTCTAGAAGATCACTCGTGGAAGAGATCAAGCCTCGACGGCCCTCAACACGAAGGAAAGAAGAACATCAAATCATCAAGAACTCCGGTTCAACCTCTACATCAAATCTTCATTGATCGAGATCAAGCCTCGTCGACCCTCAATCAACAACCCAAGTCAGAGGTCTACATCAGATATCTTCGATAGAGATCAAGCCTCGTCGGCCCTCAATCAAGAGTCAACTCAGCCCGTGAAACAAGTCAAAGATAAAGTGGAGATCGAATCAGAGGAGCAAATTAGAAATTGTACCCTAAATTATCAAATTAATAAAATTAAT